ATAATCCCAGAAGCCATATTAGCCTCGAGACACAAATATTTTTCCTCATTTATCCAGAAAAGTAAACTACTCAATTTTAATTCTTAAAATGCTTTGCTCTCATGTAGCAAATGCGTCAAAACCCACACTACTTTATGCAAGAAAATAGATACAGAAACTTTTAGAAATCCTGACACATTTCACTAGCATCAATTATCTAAGAAACAAATAAAGTACTTGAAATTCATAAGCACTAAAAGTAGATAATTGATGGACTTATAATTTAATACATCTCCACCATAACAATGAAACTATGTCAAATAAAAGTCAATCAATGCTACATACAAAATTTCAGAGCCTTCTTAATCCATAATTTTAGAAATTATCTTGTAGATAAAGCAATTTGAAACAGTAATGCAATTGTAAACAAAATCAGGAGTCCAAGAACACAAGGTCACAGAACCACATTCAGTCCCTTATTTCCACATTCAGATTTAAAGGGGTGAGAGATTAAACTACTTATAAGAGAGAAGAAACTTTAATGAGTGAAGGTAAAAGTTTTAGTGGAGGAAAACAAGTCAGAACAAATGAAAATTTAATTAAACTACTTATAAACTTACCTGCAAAATTTGTACAACAGGAAAAAAGACAGACACGACGAGTTTCCTTAAAGCTAAGGCGAGGCGTAATTTTATGTTAAACTTATCCCATCTCAGTGGCATATCACTAAGGAATGACCAGTCTTGTAGAGGATAAGACTCCTGATATCAACGTTATATTTGCCTCTTTCGAAGTAAGTGCTTGTCTGAAAGTAGAGTCAGAGTACAACTAACAGACAAATCTTAATCACCTATGACAATTTGACACGCAAAAACATTGCTGAACAAATTGATGAGAGGGATGAAAATCATATCTTGATTTACAGCATTTTTATACTAAAAACATGGATTTGATTAAAAAAAAAAGGTAGCTTATTTTAGAATTAGACATCCCTGCAAGTCCTACTGCATACAATTAGACATACAAAGAGACAGCACACAAGGGCCAGCCGGCCAAGTTTTGAATATAATTCTGTCCATTTAGTATTGTACCTATGCATAATATTTGAAACTCCTCTTGGATTTTCAGCCAAACCTCGGAAGAATTACTATTCGTGCAAGGGAAGTTTTCGTCTGATGAAGTTGAAAGCCATGGATCGGAAATTCAACAGAAATTTGTCGAATGAAGGCCGAGGATCAATCAGCCTACAAAAGAAGATAGCAGATAGTAGACACTCTAGTCAAAATGAACAAATTCCAGACCTAACTGATTTTATGAATGATATGTTCTTCGGATCAGTTAATACTGATAAGAAAACGTACAACCTGACCGGAACTGGAAGCTTTGTTGTCGATCGAAATGATCAAGAATTTGAGTCGAGTGCAAGGAGTGTTAGCAGCAGGCTAACACAGGAGTGGCTTGAGGAAGCAAAGCAAATGATGGCTTCATCTCCTTCTAGAGACTGTGATTCGCCATCTAGATTGGTTGTCTCCCCAAGATTTGCAACAACTCCATGCAGGCTATCTACATCTACTATAGACAAGAGACGCTCTAGGTCTGCTAGAAGGTAAAATATCTTATCATATATTATTTCGTCCTTTATTAAGACGTGTTAGGAAATTAATAAACATTAGGGTAGTGAAATGTGTTGGACTGCGCAGGCTTGTGTTATAGGCCGACTTGTGTCCAAATAAAACAATTTGAAAGTCAGGCCAAAATAGTTATATGTGATCAAGGCATAAAACTAGCCTATGTTGGACTACCGTGCCCCCAAATCCTGGGTCGGCATGTGAAATCGTGTCTAATCTTGTGCAGTCGAACATAACCATAAGTATGTAAACAAAAAAATGTGTAGTTTGACGGACTAATTCTTTTAATTTCTTGTGTATTAAACATAATCAAATTGAATGACCCTTTGTTCATTTTAAAGGTCTGTAAACTAACTATGGACCTCCTCTTCTGGAAAAATTAATACAGGAATAGATCAATGGAAGGCTTCAGTGGAGAAATCCTCTCAAAAACAGGCACACACACTCGAATAGATCTGAAAGCAATTTGGATCCTCCACAAGCAAAAGCAGAATCTCCACAAGTCCAAAAAAGGTTCATCAACATGATCAAAATCCCCACTAGTCCCTCTTCTAATCCCAGCCTCTCCATATCCCCTGACCCCACACCCCCAAGTCCCACTAGTCCTCTTGGAGCCCCACCTCTCCCTCTCCGCCAATCAATGAATCGCAAGTCACGGTTCCAAACGGACCCCAGCTCACAGCTGACACAGCCTATCCCTACTCCAACTAACCTTCCCTCCATTTCTAAACGAAGATTCAAAAATACCTCAACTGCTACAAATAATGCACCTACAACAATCTTGGACACTGAGTTGCTCTCTCCACCAAAACATGTTAAGGAGTCTGCTCATCGGAGGACAATATCTTCCAGCACGTGCTCTGTGGCAGAGATGGACCTCTTGTCACCACCCGGGAACTTGGTGGAGTGGGCTCAGCGGAGGTCTTTATCCTCTTCCACATGCAGAATTGATAGGAATTTGCAGAAGAATAATTTGGATGACAGGCAGTTGATGGATAAAGATTTGAAGGTTCAGGACTTGAACGTGTTCTTAAAAGAGCAGAGGATCAAAATTGGGAAAATCTTGAGTGGGGAAATCAGAAGAAAGGCCAAGATTGTGCTCTCTGGACCTTCAAACAGCTAAGTTTTGTTTAGTATTGCATATTTCTTTTTTCCCCATTGACATTTTAGTGTTTTGCAACCCCTTTAAAGTACTAGAGATTGATCAACTGCTCTTTTAGCAGTTAAGCCTTAAACCAAATTATGAGAGCAATGAAAGGCAAAACGAAAATCACAAATAGGCAGAGCCGCAGAGCAAACACGGGAAGTTATTGTGGCTCACTTTCTACTTGAGAGCTACATCCACTTCACATTGTAGATTTTTGCTCTTAATATAGGGCAACCGAGTACAGGTAAGGAATAACCAATATATCACTAAAAAAATCGGCGGTCAAGGGATGATTTTTAAGTATAGTCAGGCTCAAGACAGTCCAACAACCCCAAGAGAATGGATTAAACTAGTGCATTCCTAGCGTATATTAAGTTTGACATTGTGTGACGTAGAAAATTGTGCCATTGATTTGAATAAGTATGATTAAAATCAATGGCCATGATTTTTGCCATATCAAACAATGCCAAACTTAATATCAACCATAATGTACATGTAGCAGAATTGCAAGAGATTTATTCTCTAGACAAGATAGACGGAATAATTATACGATTATAAGGAACAATTTTAACTTAACCTGATCTTATATTTTAGTGTAGTTTAGGTACGAGCTCGATGGTAGCAGCAATATGCTATGCGTGGTTGTGGGAAAATAGAATGAAGGCTGATAAGATAAGAGGAGAGGGAGATAGGAGCAGTTTCAAGTTGATCGTACCTGTGATGAATATTTGGAGAGAGAAAATGTGGAAGCAGCATCAAGCGACTTGGCTTTTTGACCATGTTGGCCTTGATGCCACTGCTTTGCTCTTTTCCAACGAGGTACTTGTATGTTTCTTGTTCTTCATATCTCAGAAAGATAAAGAATGGGTGGTAAGTTGCATTGGACGTTCAAAAGAAATATGAGGATTATTGCCTCCTTACCTTCAACTACGATGTGTGTGTGTGTGTGTGTTTCTGTCGTGCATTAATATTGTTAAGATTTATGATTTGTTATGAGCTTAAGATTATAAGAGATTAAAGTATTTGTAAAATTCATCTTTTAATTTTGACTCTAAAGATGAAATTTGCATCCCGGATTGCCAGAATTCACCAGTTTTAAGCACCACAGACAAAATGGATGAACAAGGAAATTTCGAGGAGAGAGAGATTGAAAAGGCATCTCACGGCCAGGAACCTCATTTGCAGAAGACAGATTTTACGTGTAATGCACAGAAACATCGTGCTTTAAGAATGAGAAGGCCTAGTTAGTTTACCTTAACCTACTTCCTTTAGGTTGTTGACTCTTGGTTGAGATTTTCGTCGATTTTGTGGAACTAATATGGTGAATAGTCAATGCTCATAAAAACTGTGCTCAATCTCTTGTTCATGAGACCTACTCATAGCATTTACATGGCAAATAGTCGATTCTTGGTCTCGTCCAAACAGATATTTGCTAGCTCAATGTAATGTCAAATTCTAGAAACTTACTCAGAAAACTGATTTTAAATTGTGGTTCATTCTTCTGCTGCTATCTATGGTCAGGTTGATTTGGAAGCCTTTATGATGGCTAAGAAGTTAAGCATACTTGTTGTTGGAGAGGACATCCTCAGAACCAATGCCGAGGTTATTTAACGTGTAATCAAAAGCATAAATATACTTCATTAAGTCTAGTTTTATCATCTCTACAATCACGAAAAAATCTTACATTTTATGTCCTTTTATTGTACGCGTAGGTCGGATCAGTGTGCACTACTCTGACGGACAATTACTGTGAGGATGCATTCGACCTGCTTCAAATCCCCATCGTGAAAAAACTTCTGGTGGAAGATAATAAACTTGCTAAACATAAACAGTCTTTTTTAACACTTCACTTTTCGTGATAAATTATTTAGTATCTGCTTATAATCAGCTTGCAGGTATTCTATTGGACACACAAAATTTGAATTTGTTTCCCAAGTTGTCTGTGACTAGAGTAGGGATGGCAAAAAAATCCGACAAACCCGATACCCGCGGGGACCCGCCCCGAACGGGGAGAGGAAAACCCGCTTAAACGGGTAACGGGGCGGGGATGGGGCGGGGAATTATTCCCCGAGGCGGGGACGGGTGACTAGAGATGCAGAGGCAGTTCAGCTTCTGTTAAGCGGCTCAGCCCCCAATTATAGGAATACGCTTTTCGATAAATGTATGTTTTTATCATCTGTTGACGACCACATGAACACCAAGATTTATAGGAAGTGCAAACTTAGAAGTCTTGGTTTTCTCAATTTTCATTGCAGAGATGCAAGACCATAGAGATACTAGTTTCCTTGAAGTTTTGCGTCACAGCTATGGGAAGCCCCTCAACAAAAGTAAGTTGATTTTCATTTTGAAATGGAGACTAGCTACTGTCCTCTATTAAGCAATCATCCACGTTTGAAATATATAGCCTTTTTACACATCGCATTTACATCTTTAACACTTCATTTTTGTTGATGATGATAGGTTCTTGGGACGGTCAAGCACCATTTGAGCATAGGATTTGGGAGAAAAAAACTTCCGGTGAAGTAAATGCATTAGTTGGAGACAAATATCAGAATGATACAAAAGATGCACCAGTAAAGAAAGTTTCGCCAATTTCAGGTAAGCTATCTTATGGTCTCGTTTTATTATATTTTCTTCGATTCATCTCCGAAGCAACACGAATATTTCTAGCCTTTGGCCTTTGCTTCAAAAGGAAACAAGACCTTTTTTAACTATCTAAGTAAATGATTTCTAAACAAACGTTTTGAAACAATATTTTATATATGAAATAATTTTTCACTAGAAAGCTTTATCAACCAAGAATCCTGTAATGGCGCATCTCTCTCTAACAAAGAATAAGCATACTCCACCGTTACTTTTCTGCAGGTAAGCCTACACTACCTCATGTGCAGCCTCAGACGAAGGCACCTGCAAAAGAAACCGATGCCTCTCGTGGAAAGAGTAATAACTTCTTCACAAAATTGTTTGACTTTGGCTAAAAGTAGTAACAAAAATAGTGACATTTTTATGTACTTGTGTGAGTTAAGGTTATGATCTGTACCATCATAGAGGTTCTATATGTATTGAATAATTTTCATCTTCTTAACAAATGTAGGGAAAATGTAATCAAGAGTTGCATCAATTGAATTTTCTGAAAGGATTTATATTAGAACAAAATGAAATGTGGAACTGAACTTTTATCATTAATGAAATCGTTTACACCAGTGTGAATATATACAGCATGAAAGTGGTGCCAAGGCCAGTGGTTATAACAAGAAATCTAGCTGGCAAAACTAATTACCTAACTTGTAAACTAACCTTCAACTATACAAAGTTTACATATTGATACTTGGAATTTACATATGGATTCCAATACTCCCCCTTGTGATGTGCCGTAAATTTCTTTAACACACATCTTGGACATCAAAGATTTCAGTGTAGAGGCTGGTAGAGGTTTGGTAAAAGCATCCACAAGTTGATGCTTTGACTAAATAGGTAGAAGCTTCACGATGCCGGTATTAATTTTATCACGTATGGAATGGCAATTGATTTCAATGTGTTTTGTCCGTTCGTGAAAAAGGGGATTGGTGGCAATTTGAATGGTAGCATGGTTGTCACAATAAATAATAGCTGGTGATGTACTAGAATATGAAAGCCCTTCAATAATTGATGAATCCAAATGATCTCACTTACGGTAGAGGCAATGGCTCTATATTCCGCTTCAGTTGAAGAATGAGAGATGGTTTGTTGTTTCTTTGATTTCCATGACACCATTGAATCATCAACAAAGATGCAGAAACCAGTAGTTGAGAATGCAAGAAGGTTTTTAAGAAATCAATAGCTTGAACATTTGGTCCAGTTATAACAATGTCATCTACGTACACTATTAATGCCATAAAACTGTCTCCAGCATGAGTGAATTTCTCATTCCACTGTCTTGAAGCCTGTTTAAGTCCATATATGGACTTGTGTAACTTGCACACCATTTTCTCCCATGTTTGAAGGATTTAAGAAACTCATAGCCAAGAGGTAGGTCCATATAACCTTCTTCAAACAAGTCGCATTTGAGGAATGCATTATTTACATCCATTTGGAATAGGTTCCATTTATGATGAGCTGGAAGAGTGAGTAATACTTTGATTGTCACATTCTTTGCTACTAGAGAGAAGGTGTCAAAATAGTCTAATCCTTCTTGTTGTGTGTAACCTTTTGCAACAAGGCGTGCCTTGTGCCTGTCAAGTGATCCATCTGAATTGAATTTATTTTTATAGATCCACCTACATCCAACAGAGTGTTTCCCGGAGGCAGAGGTACAATGGACCAGGTGTTATTTAGTTCCATGGCTTCCAATTCAAGTTTCATTGCATCACGCCATTGGGGAAATTCGACAACCTAATGGAAGAATTGAGGCTCGAATTGGGCTGAGATATTTAGTGCTAAATATTTGTGAGGTGTAGATAGATTTCTGTAAGAGACAAAATGACTGATGTGATTTGGAGAATGAAGGATAGGACTATCAGATTGAGCTATCAAATTGCAATGATAGTCAAGTAGGTATTTAGGAGGTCTAGAAGCTCTTTGAGTTTTTCGAACAACATGATCCTGAGGGCTAGGTGCCTCAGATGAATCATCAGAGACAAGATGAGAATTAGGTAGGTGTTTTAGATGAAGGGACACTATGATTATCAGTAGGTGAAGTGGGATTAAAAGGCAATGAAGAGAGACTCACAGCGGTGGGGGATGATTAGGGTGTGTTTGTTCTGGGTTAGAGGCAAAGTCATAGAGGGGAAACAAAGAAGAAGATGGCAGTACCATATCAGGAAAAGGATCCAATAACTTATCAGCCTCAATGAAAGTATGAAATGGGAAGATTTCCTCATGAAAGACAACATCCCTGGATATAAATATCTATCTTGAAGCAATGTCAAGCAACTTGTAGCTTTTTACTCCTGATGGATATCCTAAGAACACACACAGTTTTGCTCGTGGCTGAAATT